GACCTTCACCCGATTGAGGAGAGTGAAGAAAAGGAGCAGGTTTACCAGTCAACGACGGAATGGGTCGAGATGAGTTGTAGGGGGAGGCCTCTGTATGGCAGGGTCACTCACTCGCGCTGCATCCGAGGTCGAAATCGCCCGCGTATACGCCCGTGTAACACAGCTCCGGGGCCCTGGATCTCAAAACCGGCGCGCGCTGCCTCCACTTCAGCACCGCTAATCCGGGTGCCCTCCTCCACGATATTCCCCAGCTCCTTCAGTTCCACCGGATGCCAGGACACGAAAAGATGTGTTATACACAATCACCTAGCAGTCATTAACAAAAATGAGAAATTTTGTTTGAATATTTAAAAAAGCAAATACTCAAACCTTAAAATTTCATCCTTTTTGCCTAGGCATATGACACCTGTATATCCACAGGATAATATGTCATCAATAAGGTCTGGCAGTTCCTCTGTGGTGGCATGTGTGACCTGAAACATCACTCTATTTCAATACATAGCCAAACCAAATTAAATATTTAAATTATAACAATGTTTAAATTTTAACTAGACATGTACCTTACTAATCAGTTCTCTGGATTCTTGAGCTGTGACGTCTTCAGAGGTAAGGACTAATCTGTCAAAATCTCCAGTTGCAAGGTAGGTATAGCTCCAGTTCCGCATAAAATTTGGAGGCGGGCCTCCTTGGGCCAAGCTTACAGCAAACATTTCTCCAAAAGTCCTAAGATTCACACACAAAATCAAGTTAGTCAACAAGTATTAGTAACAATATGGTTACCTGCTATAATTAGCTTTGAATACCTGAAGTAGCCCTGGTCACGGGCAGATATTGAGTAGACAGGATTCCTCCCTTTTTGGTCAGTGCTTGGTTCAAAAAATTGGGTTTGAATTTCAGATATGATATCTGCCAAACAAAATATGAGCATATTATAAATGAAAGGCACTACTAAAATACTTAAAATCCTCTCCAGATATGGACAGACATGGAAAAAAATGGAACTGAATACAATGATCTAAACCTATTGTAAAAACTACAAATTTATTTCTGCGATGATTAGTGTCACGTTCGGCTTGGAGGCGAGCAAGGAAGCAGGCGAGAGCAGCCAGGAAGTAAGGTAAATAGGGTTTATTCCACGAAAGACGGACATCTACGGACAATACAATGACAGATCTGGGGAAGACTGACTCAGACGAGGACTAAATACAAAAGACAAGCTAGACCAAACAGGACACAGGTGATCACACTCAGGGCTGAACACGAGGTAACGAGGTGGGCGTGGCACACATCAGGAGCGGACGGAGTGGATCATGACAGAACCCCCCCCCAAAGGCGCGCACACCGGGCGNGAGGTGGGCGTGGCACACATCAGGAGCGGACGGAGTGGATCATGACAGAACCCCCCCCCAAAGGCGCGCACACCGGGCGTGCCCGAGAGGAGGCGACGGACGGGACGAGGGAACAGAACCTGAAAGACAAAAGCAAGATATCAACGGGACGCAGGAAACAAGACAGAGAAACAGAACAGGCCAGGACAGGAGAGTCGGGCTGGACGGGAGAGGCGGCCTCAGGCAGGGCCGCGGGCAGGAAGGGAGAGGCGGCCTCAGGCAGGGCCGCGGGCGTGCGGCCAGCAGGGGGCGCCTCGGCAGGCGCCTTGGGGGTGCGGCAGGACAGGCGGGTCAGGCGGTGCTGCTGGCATCGCGGCAGCAGCAGCAACAGGCAGTGCTGTGGGCAGATCGGCGGCAGCAGCAGGCGGCACAGCCGCGGGCAGATCGGCGGCAGCAGCAGGGACCGCAGGCTGGGTAGGCGGGTCAGGCAGGACAGGCGATGCCGCTGGCAAGGCGGCGGCAGCTGCAACAGGCGGAGCCGCGGGCAGAGAGGCGGCAGCTGCAGCAGACGGCGTAGCCGGCAAGTCCGGAGCAGGCAGTGCGGCCGGTAGATTCGGCACGGGCGGCAAGAGGGGCGCCGAGCGAGAAGGCGTTGTCCCTTTAAGGGCTCTCGAGACCCGGGGAATAGCGTCCCTTACGGCGCGTATCCCACCTAGACGCAGGCGCTCCGGCCGATAAAAAATAAGCCTCCAGCGGAGGTGGCTTCTCCGCATGGAAGCCGGCCAGGCGGGCAGCAGCGATGTCGTCCCAGGCAGGGAGAAGAGAGCAAGCTCCTAGGAAGAGCGTCTGGGTGGCTTCTTCCCCTTTTCCCCTTCGCCTCTTCTTTTTACCGTTCGCGTCGGAAGGCGGAGCCGCCGCAAACACGTCGCCTAGACACTCGGCGACGCGCTCGTCTCTCTGCTGAGTGAGACGCTCGCACAGGCGGCGAAGGCATTTGCTTACCCTCCCGAGCGGGTACTGCTGTCCGGGAGGGCGCTCCTCCGTGAGGAGGTCCGCACCCCGGGTGGCTAGTTCCAGGGCGACGGGATCCTCCAGCACCTCAGGTTGGGAACGCCAGTACATGGCTTCTTGCAGCCTTTCTTGTCCCACTTCTGAACTGTCTGATATTTCTGTAGGTCTGCATTATAAAATAAGTAAATCAATAAATGAGATTACTTGACGCATTCATTCTTTAATAAATAAAATATGAAAGTTTGTCAATGTGTAAAATTCAGATCAATTAACATCAATAAACATTTAAACTAAATTTTTTATTTCAACATGTGTTGTTTTTTTTTGTTAAAAAAAAAAAAATGCAATAGATTTATACATCCTAAATCATGCTTACCTCTCGCCACATATATTTGCATGCACCTCAAGAATATGTAGGGGA